CACTGCAATGGGACTATGCATATGCAGAGGGGGCTCAGACCCAGTCAAGCCGCACCCTTGCGGCTTTTTGTCAGAGCTCCTTGCATCATTTGTTTAGTACTTTGTACTTGGTGATGTTAAATAAACTTTGATTTGATTTGATTTGATGTATCAGCAGAAGACACGTGTCCTTTTGAAAATGTCTTTTATTAGGGCAAAAATAGGTTTTCATACACAACCGAAGGGTTCGCAACACCATTCAATGCGAGGCCTGAACGGTTACATCATCTAACCAACGTCAACGAAAATGTTTGTTGCCGCAGACCGATAAATTTAGGTTTAGATAAGTATGCGTCATAGTTTCAGCCTCAAACACGCAACATTGTCGATATGTACTTTTCTTGATAACTGCGCCAACGTGAGAGAGCCCTCGTCGTCGAACACTTGCACACATATCTTGACTATGGCGTATGGCAAGATTTCTTGCTTGAAGTGAAGATCATCTCGCTACGACTAGCTATGACCACCCATCGCAGCGATGCAGGCGTCGAAGGGGCGCAACGCAGTCAATCGCCGTCACCCGACGATGCTCGTTTGGTATTCACGGCTTTCCGCCCAGGTGCTTCGTTTGTACTTGGCACCGAGTGTTATTTTCTGTGCTTGTGTGTGCTCAGTGGCTAGATACGGGCCTCAAGAGCAGTTCATCAGGCTCAATAGCGTTCGCCGAAGAACGTCTGAAGAAAATGCCACCCAGGAAAAAAAGCACGAAGACGAAACGCACCAGCTTGGCGGACTATGCACTGGGCGCGGAAATCGGACCCTGCGGATTATACACCAAATGCAAACTATCTAAAAAACGAAAACATTTTTAAGCTCAAATTGGCTTCTGCGGACTATACGCCTGGACAGTGGTGCCGGTTATTATGCATTGTATATTCACTGCTGTTTCTTGTGGCTTGAGACTGCCTTCCTGTAATGATGCAGAAGGGTCCACTGAACCTTGAAATAAAGATATTTAAGCACATCTAGATGCAATGTCCCTTGAAGCCAGATGGTCAGGGAAAAGGTGTGCCATTACCTAATTTGCCAACAGCACACCAATGGTCACGATCAAAACTCACAGACTCAATGGGCAGTTTTTCACCACAATATTTATTGCCGTGTAATCACCAATTTGTACCATTAAAAATCATGAGGCTGTAGCCTATAGCACATCCATTCTGGATCTGCAAAGCTTATGCTGTAGACATGCATCATCACATGAGCATGTTTCTTCTCAATCTTAAGCGTAAAACGCTAGTTATGCAACGAAATTCCCATATCATCACATTTTTAGCAAATTGAATGGTCACACCTGTCACACTGTTAGCTTTGGAAGTAAACAAATTCACAATACCACCAGTGGCATACATCGTGCCAAGCATTAGTGCCGCATGTGGCACAAAAATGTCCTAACTTGGGAAGCAAACTTAATCGATCTTGTTGATTAAAGCACTTAAGTACGGGAGAAATTATCGATCAGAAGGTCGCTCGAAAGAAAAGTTTTCTCGCTGAACGAATATGACTTTTTATTGGGCGTTCCGTAATGTAAGGCCGAAGACATTCCCTCCGTGATCGGTACAGAAGCATTTGCTTAGCAGTCGGTCGTGCGTGCTAAAAACAACAAAAACAAAGGTGGATTAGAAACGCGATAGATTCGCCTTTGCACGGAGTACTTACACTCAACATCGTGTCAACCTAAAGTGACTATGGCCCACCTTGCTAGCAGCAATCTTAAAATTTATCCGTGTAGTCGTCGCACCTGTGCACCAACCGAAAGCGTTGCTGGCGTTGCTGCAAGCCCTTCCACCGTCAACTTTGAGTCGCTGTTGAGTCTGAAGAACTCTGCTCTGTGAGGTCCATATCCAGCCACTGAGCACATACACAAGCACAGGAAATAATACTCGGTTCCAAGTACAAGCGAAGAACCCGGGGCAAAAAGCCCTGAATGCCAAACGACCTGCGTCGGGCGATGGCGACTGACTGCGTAGTACACAGGTTGCGCTCCTTCGACGCCTGCATCGCTGCGGCGGGTGGTCGTAGCTAGTCGTAGCAGATCGTGTCACCTCTGTTGCTCGTACCGAAACACTAGAGCCGCGTAATATTCTTCCTGCCGAAGTTTATAAGCCTACGTTCCCGGCCAACGCGTATACACAAACGCCCAGCGAACCTATCTCCCTCGCTCTCTTTCGGCGACCGGCCGCCAGGGTGGTGACACCGTCGCTGAAACTCCTCAATCACCTCATGCCGAACTTCTGTGCGGCCGTCGGCTGCACAAACCGATATCAACGTGGTTGCTCCGTGCGCCTTCATCATTTTCCCGCGGACTCCGAACTGTCGAAGCAATGGGTTCTTGCCATGCGAAGGGACAAGTTTGTACCCAACAAGCACAGCGTTTTGTGTTCGGAACATTTCTTGGTTGGAGCTTACGACGACAAAGTGCGACTTATGAATGAGATGGGCATGGGTGTAAAAAATGCTCGTCTGAAGCGCGACGCAGTTCCGAGCATCTTCCGACATAAGAGCCAGGCACCTCAGCGAATCCGAGGAGCTTACGCGAAACGGAGACGAAACGAGGTAAGGATTGCCACTTCATCGTTCTGCGAAAGCGTGCAATTAGGTTCGTGGATTATTTTAAAAGGCGGGAGCGCGTAGCCTGCCAAAGAGCTTCGTTTGAGCTAGCGCCTGTGCCCCCCTTAGTAAAGTGCTCGACCTCACGAATGTGACATTTGTAAACATCGAAATTGCACGTGGAAAGAAGACTTGTGGGAAATCCTAGCCTTTTGGGCAAGCGTTAAATCCCGGAGTCAGCGAGTCGGAATTTTCAGGATTGTAAACATTAAAGCTTCTCGTGGTGAAGCATTCATGCGAGATTTCCCCTTTATAAATGCGGCAGCGTGCAAGTTACTTGGTACTACTGTAAAACCCTTTATTTTTGAGGCCCTGGTTTTTCGCGAATTGAGCAACGGGGTCATATTCGCGACCATTAAATTTCGCGAATTTTAAAGGCTGGAATTCGCCTCTACAGACAATATAAATAAATATCCGCGTCCACTAAATTTCGCGAATTATAAAATTCGCAAAATTTAGTGGACGCGAATATCTAGCTCGCGAACAGTAAGGGTTTTACGCTATACGCAGTGGGGATTTAGTAGCTTGATAGCCAACCTCTGTTCATATTATTCTCACACCATTGGAATTGTCGTGATTCTCACGGTCAGGGATTTGTCCAGACTCGTGAATCTGGAGGAAGGCTAAAACAATTTCTGGGAGGGCTTTGGGTGCCTGTATACCATAGGCTTGTATACTTCGTGTTGAAAATTCTGGGGGGGGGGGGGGGGGTGTATAAACTACTGTTTATGGTCTAAGAAGCGAAATGTCAGTGTTGCAACATATGGTCCCATAGTCAAAAGAGTATATTCATTTGCCTACGGTTCTCCTCACTGTCGTCTAAGATGGTCGCAGAGCCAAAAGCATATAGACGCTTTGCAGCAGCTGTGCATGGACGCCGCCATAACTGACCTTCAGTTTTTGTTTCCTCTTATTATGTTTATTTCACTCTATCATTACCATAGCAGGCCAGGTTATTGCCATATTAGATTCAACTGTGTCCGTTTCTAAAGCATCGGCCTTTGTAGACGATCGTCAACTACCGTTTCAGTTGCTCGGCATCTCGGTAAGACAACAGAAGGTCAGCAATGGCGGCTGCAATTTGGCGCGTGTGTAAAGCGTCTCTATTCTTCATTGGCCGGCAGTTCTCCTCATCTGTGTCTAAAATGGAACTACATTTTTGCTTATCTGGACATACCCCTACTAGACTTTATAATTTGATTTACATAAAAAATCCTATGCAACAGCACGAAATACAACACTAACAAATGCATGTAATGTAATTTGTTCAATTTTGAACTTTTTGGGGAAATGGATTAACTGTAAAATGGACTGTAACACCCATTCCTCTTCCCAGGTTATCTCTGAGCTCCTTTCTGCACCGTCAGCACCCCCAAACTCTTCAACTGTTGGTGCTGACTTCACTTGTTCAGTGACGGAGACGCTGAACGGCATTGAGGCGGTGTGTGAAGAAGACGAAGAGCCTCAATTCCTAGACCTGAGTGTTCCGCGTGCACATGGGCATGATGACAAACACCCCGGTCCACAAGTTGACACTTATGACAAGGGTATACAGATGTTAGTGCGGCCCAAGATGACATCTCGGTCTACTCAAACTGAAGCTTCAGTCAAGTCCGTTGGTATGTCATTTTTGCTATGGTGATACTGTTCCTGCCTTGAGACAGACAAAATATTTTCTGTTTGCTCTCCCAACCCTATAATCCATTTCACAAGTGTCTGCAGTAAAGACAAAGGCATAGGTGTGCAAGGCATAGGCGTGCAAGCCTAGCTCGGTAGTATGCTTTTGTTTATACAATGACTTGTTTGTAAGAGGCACTTTCTAAAGCCACATGCTTGTGCCCATGCCTTTGTCTTCACTACAGATGTTTGTGAAATAGCGTATAGACGTGACACTGACTGAAAGCATGCAACTGCATTTCACCTTTGAAAAGGTGCATGGCTGTACAGTGAAGGTCATGCTCACTCCAGTGAGCTCCGCACGAGTAAGAAATGTGAGCAGCAAGCACTAAATAACTCCAGTTATATCATGAGATCAAGAAAGTGAAGAATAGCCAAACATTTTTTTTAGTGCCTTAAAAATACCCCTCGCCTCCAATTTTTTAGAGGTATTGCATAAAGAATAGGCAGCAATAAAAACTATGATTGCCTAAAGAGAGCTCACAAAACAAACATCAAAAGGGCGAAGTATGCAGGCGCATGTTCAGGGGAAGACCATTCCGATCGATGATAGCGCATAAAAAAAATTCTTTGGAAAGTTTGAGAAGAGAAATACAGGCAAGCTGATCAGGAAACATTATAATCGAAACCCCGAGACTAAAATAAACGATGCACCACAACATTTTTTCTATTACTTTGTAGGTTGCGATGTCTGTGAAGTGACAGTCCATGCTTGGGTCATCATAATACAACCAACATTGGTGCACATTGGACACGGCACGTCCGGCGAACAATAGGGAAGATTGCACCAGGAGGTTTCAGAACAGTGTTTCTTCACCACAACTCAATCCTAAGCATCCCACTCTTGCAATGTTATATAAAAGAAACCACCACCTCAGTTGGGACCGTGAAATCCTGGCTGCAGCTAAAAAAAAAAAAAGTTTTTCCGAATAACTTTTTTTTTTAAATTCGTAGTACACTAGCTGGTGCATGCATACTTACCACTGAGAGATGTATTTGTTATTTGCTTCCCAATAGCCAATCGAATATACTCTTTGGGGCAAGTTTAAGTACCTACAGTATTCCCAAAGAATAGCTTGTGCACCAAATTGTGGCTCGGGTTCGCAACTGGTTGAGTGTGCAATTTTATACTTGGTTTCAGCTTGATTCCGGACGCAGCCGACACTACAAACTAAAGGGACGAGTCAAGAGCACAAGTCACTGGACCTTTTCTGTTTATGATAGGTTCATTGATGATAGAACACGTACAGGAACAGTATGAACACCATGATGGTGCAATTTTGATGCTGTCTGATATGTCCCGTTACCTTGTAGTATGAGCTGCGTCCTCGCCACAGAAAAAACTAATCAATAACAATGAACCCCTGTGTGTGTAAGAGGTTCAAAATTTCAGATTTACCATATCTTCATAAATGTTTTTATTCTTTTTCAGAAGTGCAAGCCAGTCCGCTGTGTGCTGATGCAAGCACAGAGACTGAGAGCAGCTTTTGTGCAACCCATCCCTCAATCGATGATGACATGACAAGCGACGAAGACCCTGACGAAACAGGGGAGTCCAGTGGGGAGGGCTATGACTCCAGTGATGACTACGACCCCTTTGAGGGTTGTGAAGACAGGTATGAACCAAAGGCATCAAGTTCAAGCAAGACAAAATCACTTCAGACATAAGCCTACTGTTTTGTGGAGAATGTTCTCAAGAGACCAGTCTGTATACATAATGCAAGACTGCTAGCACAAACAACTGATTGCCGGTACTTTCTGTTTATGATTTCTTGTACAGCTAAAAGGCTGTCATCAAAACTACTAGTGAGGTAGAAAGTACTCATTTGTGGTTCTAGCCTAAGTCATAAAATTTAGTGTCCACCAATACCCTTTTGAAGTAAAATAATATAAAGCACTGACAGCCTGTTCGCTCTGTGTCACACAGTGTGTGCCGCAGTTGGTGGCTCGTGTCAGCGGGTCAGAGTGTCTGACCATTTAGTGAAAAATGTGCCTGCCAGAGAAGCATATCATAAAGTTTGTGAACTATGTGCTTGGTCATCCTCTATATTATCTTTTACTGTTGTTTGTATTGTATTTGCACTGTGTTAGAAAGCATTGAGAAGCAAAGGGTCTGTCTCTCAGATGAAGCAAGAAGTCGGCGGAGGGTATCACTAAAATTAATGGAGCTATGTCGAAGTCTCAGTTCATAACCTAGCCGCCTCGGTGGCTCCGATGCAAAGCGCCGGCCTACAGATTCCCAGGTAGCAAGTTTAAATCCCAGCCAAGATGCCCGTAATCTGACGGGGCTTATTGCGGAGAAGACCGAGCTTTCGGTTGCACCTCAAACGATCCCCAGGTGGTCAAAATGAATCCTCAGTCCTCCACTTGGCGGTGCCAGATGCCCATCACTGGTTTGGCATGTAAAAACCCCCAAATATTACTTCAGTTGATAACCTCACCAATAATCTCTTTGATATATTACAGCCGAAAGGTTGAAACTTGCACGTCTTCATTTATTGAGATATTGCACATCTTCACAGGTGTTGCAGCCTCGAAGCTTTCACGTACATGCTGAAGTCTGAAATTGAAAATTGGTTGGAAAAACTTTGATTTGAATGTGAAGTGAGGTTCAAAGGGCATCTTAAAATTTTTAACCTCTATTTTTGTTTGCATTGCAGTTCCAATCAAGCAGAAGCTACAGCTGATTGCGGCCGCATATTCTTGGTAGCAGAAAAGCACTTCAGGGAGCTCTTCGCGGTGTGCCGAGAATGCCTTGCAAGCTGCCAAGTCAACATCGAGTGTGAAGGAACGGTGGTGAAAGTCTACACGCAGTGCCCATCTGATCACCGGGGATACTGGATAAATCAAGACGTGATCCACCAGCAGCCTCTGCTAAATCTGCTGATCGCTGCAGGAATCCTGTTTGCAGGGTGCAACCCTAAGGCCTCACTTAGGATCCTGAGTAGCATTGGTGTCCAAACAGTATGCTGCAGGACATTCTTTAACTTGCAGCAGACTCACGTTTTCCCAGCCATTGAAAGAGTGAGTATCTTTATGCTCACAGGTTCTCAAGCATTTTTATCACAAGAGGCACCTCCCTTTTTTTTTCGTTGGTAGCCGAGGAACTTATTCTGCTCTCAGTATTTTTGAAATTGGAAGCTTATTACACCTAAGGGGGGCACACCACTCCACTTTGGCAGCTGGTTGGCAGCATCACCAACATTACCATTTGTGTGAAGTCACATGCTGCTGCCTGCTCCGACCTCTTTGAATGGACCTTCACCTTCCACCTTCCTGTGGCCGTGTTTCTCCAATTAACTCCGGAGTGAAGGTTTCGCTCCGGAGCAGGCAGCAGATTTAGCTCCTCAACTCATAAATCGCGCATTGTACCAAACAGTTCAAGAAGTCGGAAAGAAGAGAGTCCCCTCTTGCTCGGAATCTCGCTTGTGTAGCCCGGACACAGCCATTGTCCCCCTAGAAGATTAGCCCGTCGCTCAAAATTCCGACTAGTTGCTTTCCCCACCCCGTTCACCCCGAAGCTGACAGTGCTGTGGAAGCTACGTGCTCGTTGGGCCAGCCACACATTTCCCACGTGATCACGCCCTCTCGCGCATACTGACCCGCAGAGAATGAGGGCAGGTGATGAAAGGGAGGCGGCTGATTGGTCCGTCAAGCGCGTAGCTTCCATCGCAATGTCAGCTTAGGAGTAAAGGGATTAAGTGAGGTCCGGTGTCGTGTGACGTGCGCTTGGGGCCTGGTGACGCGCTGCGGGGGCCCGGTTATGGTGGCTAGTAGCCCGGTGACGCGCTGCGGGGTCCGCGGATGTATCACAGTGAAAAGGCAGAGAGTTTACGAAGGGAAGGAGGTACGAAATAGTCCGCTATATTTTGCAAATTTTTGTTGCGAAAGTCAGGTTTCTAACTTTCTAGCTTTGTTCTTTTGGCCCACTGAACGATGTGCTATTAGTAAAATCCCAATATAAATTGATTTACTCCAGCCCGAAATTCGTTTCATGGGTCCTTTAATTTCATTTCGGCCTGTGCCTGCTCTTTCTTGAGCGACTACAGAAACAGCCAGATAATCGGTGACGCACAACCGACATTGCTCTGCAAATTATATTGACACAAACTTGCATATTTGCCGCTGTATTCCGATTCATTATTAAAACAACTCATACTCAGATTTTGTTGGAGTCCTGGGAAGTCAGACAATGTTTATTGCGAAAGTAACAGCGATTCGACTAGCTATTCTAGAGACTCCAAAACATTCGTGTCAAGAGTGCCTCACCCAAGGTTTTTAGGTTGGGAGCAATATTCTCGGCTCTATAAAAATAGGACGGCAAGACATAGCTTGGACGAGCTGTCGCCACCACGAATAGGCCTAAGACGAACTGCCCTGCTACTATTTGACGCGCTACGGATTGTCTTTGGACAAACTGCCGGTGGCCCCATACACACATTGATTGTCATGTCCACAGAAGGGGACTTCATAGGAGCGAGAAAAACTTGTACCAATTTGATTGATTAGAACCATATAGATTGCCATTTTCCTAAAAAAAGGACTCAATTGAAGCAAGTAGAAAAAAGATATCGATTCTGTTAAAACGTTCACAAAAGTATTGGCAGGAGTAACTGTCAACACTGCTCTATGGGGCTGCTCAATTGCCACCGAATTTTGCTTAGGGTTTTAGTTTTTTCAAAGTTCACTTTTCTTTCAATATGGGAGTGTTTTTTTCCCCCCACAGACTCAATGTCTTTCTGTGTCTTTTTTTGTGTTGGAAACAAAAATTTGAATTTACTGAGGCCTATGCTGAAGCACTCTGAACACAGGCATGGGACATCTCAGCATCCAGCGAACACGTGGATGACCCTGATATGTACTTGAAAAACATTTCTACCGATGAAAGAGGTAAATGAGATGAGGGTTTAATTCTCGGAAAGAAATAAGCAGCCAGGCAGGCAGTTCAAAGTGAGCGTGGTTCCGGGTGAGGACAAGATAAAGCTGTAGGTTATGATTCCTTTGAGTGAAGCATCGGTTTTTCTGATAGAAGGACAGCTTCGATTCGAGGTTTTTCTGTATTGACGGATTGCGATAAAACTGACTCTGATTACTTTTCGGGGTTTATCGGTTTACATCAAAAACACAAAACCACATTATGTTGCACTAAATTATTTCTTCCAGGCTACATAGCAAGGCTCCTTGAGGCAGTCCAGGAGGTGATGCAGAACAAGGCACTCCGTGCCTGTGTTGCCATGACTGCTGACGACCCACCGCCGCTCAGCAACTCTGCAAGGAAGGTTTCAAAGGTGGAGCTGGTCCAAAAGCACAAGACAAGGTTTAACAAATAAGGTTTGTTTCATACACTGTGAACAAGGTGCAGGATTGTGAAGCTCGTCTCTTTTATCCCTTCAGTACCCATCTCGGACAAACACTGGAAGATTTTTGCCGGTGTGGCTGCGGTGTCTGGGTTCCACAAGATGGGGGGACTCCCTCCTACAGGCCCACATTCCTCCGCGACCTCTCCTGCCTCCTGATGGCGTGCTCCAAGTCTCATCATGTGCACCCAGCTAACTTCAGGACCTTCAATAGTACCTGTCCAGCTGTGACTGTGTCAATAAGAAAGGCACAACCTTGCATCTTGCTCATTCTCCTCTTTTAAAATTTTTGTTATCTCGCCATTTTATGTTTAGCACCGATTGTTCCCTTAGCATTTCAAATCGGATCAGTT